CTGGGACTACAGTCATGCACCACCATGCTCAGCTAATTTTTTTTATATTTTTAGTAGAGACATGGTTTCACTATGTCGGCCAAGATGGTCTCGATTTCTTGACCTTGTGGTCCGCCTGCCTTGGCCTCCCAAAATCCTGGGATTACAGGCGTGAGCCACAGTGCCCAGCCTAGTATCATAGTTTTTGTAAGTAGTCCTGGTAAACTATTTAAATAATAACAATAATAAATTAGATCAATGTAATGAGATAAATGCTTGTAAGCTAACTTTTTGTGTAATTTGAAATCATAGAATCATTGTAGATGTTTATTGGATGTCCGGGTCCTTTCCAAGCAGGAAAGGGTTATTGCATAGGGAAACATGGTTTTTGTTGTTGATTTTGTTTTGCTTTGTTTTGTTTCTGAGATGGAGTCTCACTCTTGTTGCCCAGGTTGGAGTGCAATGGCATGATCTCAACTCACTGCAACCTCCACCTCCCAGGATCAAGTGATTCTCCTGCCTCAGCCTCCCGAGTAGCTGGAATTACAGGTGCACACCACCATGCCTTGCTAATATTTATATTTTTAGTAGAGACGGGATTTCGCCATATTGGCCAGGCTGGTCTTGAACGCCTGACCTCAGAAGATCCACCCGCCTAAGCCTCCCAAAGTGATGGGATTACAGGCATGAGCCACTGTGCCCTGGTGGAAACATGTTTTTTTTTTTTTTCTTTTTTTCTTTTTATTTCTTTTTATTTTTTTAAAGATGGGGTTTCATCATGTTGGTTAGGCTGGTCTTGAACTCCCGACCTCAGATGATCCACCTGCCTTGGCCTCCAAAGTGCTTGGATTACAGGCGTGAGCCACCACACCTGGCCAGAAACATGTTTTTTAAGAATTGTGAAATGCTGCTGGGCAAGGTGACTCACACCTGTAATCTTAGCACACTGAGGGCAGGTGTATCACTCACTTGAGGTCAGGAGATCGAGACCATCCTGGCTAACACAGTGAAACCCCATCTCTACTAAAAAAAAATACAAAAATAGTCTTTTCCCTCTTGCGGCCATCACCTAAGCGAGAGCTGCCAAAATGAAGTTCAGTCCCTTTGTGACTTCCGACCGAAGCAAGAATCGCAAAAGGCGTTTCAACGCACCTTCCCACCTTCGCAGGAAGGTTATGACCTCCCTTCTTTCCAAAGAGCTGAGACAGAAGCAGAACGTGCGATCCACGCCCATCCGAAAGGATGACGAAGTTCAGGTTGTACGAGGACACTATAAAGGTCAGCAGATTGGCAAAGTAGTCCAGGTTTACAGGAAGCAATACATAATCTACACTGAACGGGTGCAGCGGGAAAAGGCTAATGGCACAACTGTCCATGTAGGCATTCACCCCAGCAAGATGGTTATCACTAGGCTAAAAGTGGACAAAGATCGCAAAAAGATCCTTGAACCGAAAGCCAGATCTCCCCAAGTAGGAAAGGAAAAGGGCAAATACAAGGAAGAAACAATTGAGAAGATGCAGGAATAAAGTAATCTTATATACAAGCTTTGATTAAAACTTGAAACGAAGACGCTGGGCGCGGTGGCTCAAGCCTGTAATCCCAGCACTTTGGGAGGCCGAGGCGGGTGGATCACGAGGTCGAGAGTTCGAGACCATCCTGGTCAAGATGGTGAAACCCCGTCTCTACTAAAAATACAAAAAATCAGCTGGGCATGGTGGCGCGTGCCTGTAATCCCAGCTACTCAGGAGGCTGAGGCAGGAGAATTGCCTGAACCCAGGAGGCGGAGGTTGCGGTGAGCCGAGATCGCGCCATTGCACTCCAGCCTGGGTAACAAGAGCGAAACTCCGTCTCAAAAAAAAAAAAAAAAAAAACTTGAAACGAGAAAAAAAAAAACACACAAAAATAATTAGCTGGACGTGGTGGCTCGTGCGTGTAGTCCCAGCTACTCAGGAGGCTGAGGCAGGAGAATCGCTTGTACCCAGGAGGCGGAGGTTGCAGTGAGCTGAGATTGCACCACTGCACTCCAGCCTGGCTAACACAGCGAGACTCCATTTCAAAAACAACAAACAAATGAAAAGATTTGTGGAATGCTACTCATCTATAAAATGCTAATATCTAATAGGCATTTCAGGATTTCTTGCTTTCTAGGTTTATACAAATATAAAATGTGCCAAAGATGTGTTTCTATTGAGAAAAAGAAGAATTTTGTCTAATTCAGAAGTTACCTGGCTGGATGCAGTGGCTTGTGCCTATAAACCCAGCACTAGCCTGGTCAACATGGTGAAACCCTGTCTCTCCTAAAAACAAACAAAAAAAAAAGTTATCTGAAAGTCAATTCCAATTATGGAATTAAAGTGGGAGGCCAAGGTGGGTGGATCACCTGAGGTCAGGAGTTGGAGACCAGCCTGACCAACATGGTGAAACCCCATTTCTTCTAAAAATACAAAAATTAGCTGGGTGTGATAGCAGACACTTGTAATTCCAGCTACTCGGGAGGTTGAGGCAGGAGAATCGCTTTAACTGGGGAGAAAGAGGTTCTTTTTTTTTTTTCCACAAGCTGATGTGGGGACGGGGGCTGCCAGCTTCCCTGCTTCCCCGTCAGTCACTCAAAGGGGGTGCCTGGGCGACAAGAGTGAAACTCCATCTCAGAAAAAAAAAAAAAGAAATTGGTAGGCCAGATGTGGTGGCTCATGCCTGTAATCCCAGCACTTTGGGAGGCTGAGGCAGGCAGATCATTTGAGTTTAGAAGTTTGAGACCACCCTGGGCAACAGGGTGAAATCCTATCTCTACAAAAATATAAAACTGAGCTAGGCATGGTGGCTTGTGCCTGTAGTCCCAGGTACTCAGGGGGCTGAGGTGGGAGGATTGCTTAAGCCTAGGAGGTCCAAGATTGTGCCACTGCACCTCGGCCTGGGCAACAGAACAAGACCCCGTCTCAAAAGAAAACAAAAACGAAAGAAAAAAATAGGTAGTCTAGGACAAGTCAAGTCCAAGCAGGTCAGAGATGGTTTGTGTAACTTGTGATAAGATTTGTAAAGGGGAATTTATAAAAATAAGAATTTTGTTTGTGATTAAGTTAGCTGTGATTAAACGTGGATTGTTTATGTTAGTCTTTCTAAGGAATGGTCCTGTATGTATTTTTTTTTTTTTTTGAGACGGAGTTTCACTCTTGTTACGCAGGCTGGAGTGCAATGGCGTGGTCTTGGCTCACCGCAACCTCCGCCTCCTGGGTTCAGGCAGTTCTCCTGCCTCAGCCTCCCAAGTAGCTGGGACTACAGGCCGTGCCACCATGCCCAGCTAATTTTTTGTATTTTTAATAGAGACGGGGTTTCACTATGTTGACCAGGATGGTCTCGATCTCTTGACCTCGTGATCCACCTGCCTCAGCCTCCCAAAGTGCTGGGATTACAGGCGTGAGGCACCGCGCCCGGCCTGGTCCCGTATGTTAAAAGAAGGCTTGCTTAAGGTATTGATTGACTTGCTCTTAATGAAATTACAAGAAATTTTGCTTTTTAGTTCTATAACTTGTTTCTTTGAAAACTTCTCAGATCCATATCTCAGAAGTTCAAATGTCGTTGTGTCTTGCCACTTTCAGCTTTTTCTCCCCTTAAGAAGGCCTGAGATGATAACTCTCTTAGCTTTTTCATCAGCTCTAGCAACTTTTTCTCCCCTGGTTCTCACTGCTGTTATGGCCTGATGCTGAAATATCTTATCGAGTGCTATAAAAGCAGTGTTTTCCTTCAGTATACATTGATTTTAGACTCTTGACTTTTTCTTGATATATTGAAATTTTCAACGTAATCAGGAAACTCTTCATGCAATTACCACAAGCCATGTATTCCCCTGCCATACTCCAAACCTTGAAGATACTCTTCCTGTGTCCAGTTAAATTCAAATACTTTTTTCTCCTTCACATAAGGAGAAACAGTCACATTTCAGAAGGATTTTTTTTTTTTTTTTGCCTTTTTTGTAACTGTCTTAAGAAACAAGATTTCACGTTTAGTCAAGATATCTCCTGTGCTGTCTTTATTAGTTAGTTTTATGGTTTTTTTTTTTTTTTTTTTTTTTTTGAGACAGATTCCTGCTCTGTCACTCAGGCTGGAATGCAGTGGCATGATCTCAGCTCACTGCAACCTCCAGCTTACAAGGTCAAGCAATTCTCCTGCCTCAGCCTCCTGAGTAGCTGGGACTGCAGGTGCACACCGTCACGCCCAGCTAATTTTTGTATTTTTTAGTAGAGATGGGGTTTCTGTTGGCCAGGATAGTCTCAATCTCTTGACCTCGTGATCTGCCCACCTCAGCCCCCCAGAGTGCTAGGATTATAGGCTTGAGCCACTGCACCCAGTCTTTTTTTTTTCTCCTGCATCTACTTCCTGAGCTGATAGTACAGGCTCCCGCCACCACACCCAGCTAATTTTTTGTACTTTTAGTAGAGACAAAGTTTCACCCCGTTGGCCAGGCTGGTCTCAGACTCCTGACCTAATGATCTGCCTGCCTCAGCCTCCCAAAGTGCTGGGATTACAGGCATGAGCCACCGTACCCGCTGTGAACTGCTGTCATGAGACACAGGGACTGACTTGTATCCATTTAATGTAATTAGTTCTATGCCTCGCTACTAAGTAATTTGAATGGGAAGCTACCCTTGGGCTTCCTTTGCTGTCATTCTCAAAACTAGGCAGAGCTTATGACCTTTTTTCCCTCCTCCTTCTCCTCTTGGCCTTTTTGCTTGAAACATTGTTAATTCTTCATGTTTGTCTTATCTCCAGAATATGAAACTATTTAATCTCTCCAGGCCCAGGAGCTATTGCATGAGATCATAAGGGCCAGCACTGAAAAAATAAAATTAGTTCAGGCCCTCCAAATCAACAGACACACAGATGCCTCAACAGCTAAACAAAATGCTTGTGTTTTGTATAGCTCATTGCTGCAAGCCAAAATTACATTCAATCAAATGCATAGAATTTATAGATACGTCAGTCGGTCACCTTGCCTTTCGGCTTTTGGCTTTTTTTTTTTTTTTTAAACCAATTTTTTATTCATTTTAAATAGGTTTTAAACTACTTTTGTTTGTGGGGGCTTTTAAAAGGAAAACCGAATTAGGTCCACTTCAATGTCCACTGATTTCTTTTTGTGAAACTTGTATGATGCCGGCAGGTCATATCGAAGCTTTCTCTAGTTGAGGATTTGTGTAAAGAATATACTGCTGTTCTTGCCATTTCCAGAGCAGTCTTTAGAAAAGTCATATCTGTCCCTTTATTATTTTTGGTCCCAAAGGGAGGATTCATAATTACTGTATCAAAAGACTTAGACATTCTATTAGATAATAAGCACACATCACATTGAATCATGTCAATATTTGTTAACTCAAACTCTTCCACATTCCTGTTAAATATTTCCAGTGCATCTTCATCTATGTCAAATCCAACACACAACCCTGCTCCTAACATTGCACTTCCGATGCTAAGTACTCCACAACCACATCCTAGATCGGCAACGACTTTATTTTCAATGTCATCGTAAGTGTTATGGATTGTATACAGCATACATTCTCCCGGGTAACCCACGCGGTCCCGGGAGACTGCGACAGCGCCCGGCTGAAGCCCCAGAATACCTCCCGCCAGGGACCTCTGGAGGCGACCTGCCTTTTTTTTTTTTTTTTTTTTTTGAGACAGAGTCTTGCTCTGTCACCCAGGCTTGAGTGCAGTGGCTCAGTCTTAGCTCACTGCAACCTCACCTCCCGGATTCGAGTGATTCTTCTGCCTCAGTCTCCCAAGTAGCTAGGACTACAGGCATGCGCCACCATGCTCGACTAATTTCTTGTATTTTTAGTAGAGACGGGGTTTCACCATGTTAGCCAGGATGGTCTGAACCTGTTGACCTCGTGATCCACCTGCCTTGGCCTCCCAAAGTGCTGGGATTACAGGCGTGGGCCACCGCGCCTGCCCTGGTTTTTGGCTCTTCTGTTGCTTATAAGGGGTTTTAAGATGAATGAGTGCCTGCCCACCTCCACTCCCATCCAGCCTAGCATATTTAATTGGCTGTGGGACATGATGTAGCCGGGGCAGGTAGCACACAGCCCTGGCATTGATATGGGACAGAATAAAAGCTTGGCCGTGATACTGCCTCCGGCATAGCTGGATCAGAAAAAACAAAAAACAAAACCTGAAAAACGGGTTCAGGCCATGACGAGAAGTGGGTAGGGGGAGGAGGGTTAGTCACGTCTCACTGCTCCTCGCCTTGGAATTCCACACAAATGTGCCTGGTGGTACCACCAATTGTAACTCTCCTTCTCCCCCTTGGAGGGCCTTAGTCCCTCTACAGACAGCTATGTCTTTCTCAGTCCCATAACTGCTTCCCATAATACTGGCATCGCTTCAAATTACTACTTTCTCCCAAAATTCTTACCCTATTCATGCTTAAACCAAAGGACCCCTTGAAGAACACGGGTACTCAGCCTTCTTTTTTTTTTTTTTTTTTTTTTTTTTGAGACGGAGTTTCGCTCTTGTTACCCAGGCTGGAGTGCAATGGTGCGATCTCGGCTCACCGCAACCTCCGCCTCCTGGGTTCAGGCAATTCTCCTGCCTCAGCCTCCTGAGTAGCTGGGATTACAGGCACGCGCCACCATGCCCAGCTAATTTTTTGTATTTTTAGTAGAGACGGGGTTTCACCATGTTGACCAGGATGGTCTCGAACCCTTGACCTCGTGATCCACCCGCCTCGGCCTCCCAAAGTGCTGGGATTACAGGCTTGAGCCACCGCGCCCGGCCTTACTCAGCCTTCTTAAGAGCTCCCATTCCATTAGGGTCTGTGAGGCCCCAGTGGTTACCTGTGGCTATTTGGACGCCTGCTAAATCAATCAGCCTATAAACAGCTCGTCCCCCATTTGAGACTATGGGTACCAATGCATTGATAACATTCGGCTCAAAGGTCAACATACAGTAAGACAGCCGAAGCCAGGCCAGGCGCAGTGGCTCAAGCCTGTAATCACAGCACTTTGGGAGGCCGAGGCGGGTGGATCACGAGGTGGATCACCATCCTGGTCAACATGGTGAAACCCCGTCTCTACTAAAAATACAAAAAATTAGCTGGGCATGGTGGCACGTGCCTGTAATCCCAGCTACTCAGGAGGCTGAGGCAGGAGAATTGCCTGAACCCAGGAGGCGGAGGTTGCAGTGAGCCGAGATCGCGCCATTGCACTCCAGCCTGGGTAACAAGTGCGAAACCCCGTCTCAAAAAAAAAAAAAAAAAAAGACAGCCGAAGCCTTCTAATATACAATTATACAACATCACTTGCCCAATAACTAAGCGAGCAATCAGCCTTAGATTGTCTGGGGCCAGGGCTGCTGTTGGCTTGTTGGCCCTTTGAGGAGGATTTGCCTTAACATGACGCCACTCTTCAAAACTTTACTTTTAACTCCACACGCTTTCTTATAAAATGGGAGATGCCTGTAATCCCAGCACTTTGGGAGGCCAAAGTGGGTGGATCACAGGTCAGAAATTCAAGACTCGCCTGACCAAGATGGTGAAACCCCGTCTTTACTAAAAATACAGAAATGAGCCAGGCACAGTGGTAGGCACCTGTAATCCCAGCTATTCAAGAGGCTGACACAGGACAATTGGTTGAAACTGGGCAGCAGAGGTTGCAGTGAGCCAAGATCATGCCACTGCACTCCAGCCTGGGCAGTAGAGTGAGACTTGGTCTCCAAAAATAAATAAATAAATAAATAAATAAAATAGGAGATGCTATATAAATTGAGACTCTTGATCCTAGCAAATATAGTTATGAATAATAGATTTTTTTTTTTTTTGAGACCGAGTTTCGCTCTTGTTACACAGGCTGGAGTGCAATGGCGCAATCTCGGCTCACCGCAACCTCCGCCTCCTGGGTTCAGGCAATTCTCCTGCCTCAGCCTCCTGAGTAGCTGGGATTACAGGCACGCGCCACCATGCCCAGCTAATTTTTTTGTATTTTTAGTAGAGACGGGGTTTCACCATGTTGACCAGGATGGTCTCGATCTCTTGACCTCGTGATCCACCCGCCTCAGCCTCCCAAAGTGCTGGGATTACAGGCTGAGCCACCGCACCCGACCCTTTTTTTTTTTTTTTTTTTTTTTTTGAGACGGAGTTTCGCTCTTGTTGCCCAGGCTGGAGTGCAATGGCGCGATCTCGGCTCACCGCAACCTCCGCCTCCTGGGTTCAGGCAATTCTCCTGCCTCAGCCTCCTGAGCAGCTGGGATTACAGGCACCCGCCACCATGCCCAGCTAATTTTTTTTTAGTATTTTTTTTAGTAGAGACGGGGTTTCACCATGTTGACCAGGATGGTCTCGATCTCTTGACCTCGTGATCCACCCGCCTCGGCCTCCCAAAGTGCTGGGACTACAGGCTTGAGCCACCGCGCCCGGCTTTTTTTTTTTTTTTTAAGATGGAGTTTTGTTCTTGTTACCCAGGCTGGAGTGCAATGGCGTGATCTCGGCTCACTGCAGCCTCCACCTCCTAGGTTCAAGCAATTCTCTTACCTCAGCCTCCTGAGTAGCTGCGACTATGGGTGTGCGCCACCATGCCCAGCTAATTTTTGTGTTTTTAGTAGAGACGGGGTTTCACTATGTTGACCAGGATGGTCTCGATCTCTTGACCTCGTGATCCACCTGCATTTAGATCACGCCTCCCAGCATTTAGGTGTGAGCCCTGGATAATAGATTGACAGTAGATTATCTGTTGGCTGAACAATGCAGGTATATGCTGTGATTAATAAAACCTGCTGTACCTATGTAAACATCTCAGGTCAAATAGAGGAAGATACTAACAAAATATATGAATAAGGCTGGGTGAGGGAGGTGGCTCATGCTCAGTGCTTTAGGATGCCGAGGAGGGAGGATCACTTGAGGTCAGGAGTTTGAGACCAGCCTGCCCAACATGGTGAAACCCCATCTCTACTAAAAATACAAAAATTAGCCAGGGACAGTGGCAGATGTCTGTAATCCCAGCTACCTGGGAGGCTGAGGCAGGAGAATTGTGTGAACCTGGGAGGTGGAGGTTGCAGTGAGCTGAGATTGTGCCACTGCATTCCAGCCTGGGCGACACAGTGAGACTCAAAAAAAGAACAAGCCAAGTGGCTGTATGGTGTCCACAACCCCAATACCCAGACTATGTGGAATTCCATAAAGGGGTTTCTACCAACAGTGACTTGGTTTTTACCTGGCACCTTTAACAGCTCTTTTGTTACTACTGATCTCTGGCCTTTACTTATTTAACCTGTTAGTAAAGTTCGCGTCTCTTAGATTACACCAGTTCCATGTGGAGATGATTCTAGCACAAGGTTTCTGACCCATCCTGTCTTCCGACCTGGCAAGTAAAGACCTCCTGCCTTTGGGCCCCCTAGATCAGGCATCCAGAGATGTTTACTTCTCCAATACCAGGCAGAGCCTACGCCTGTCAGATCAGCAGGAAGCAGTTGTAGCAGGTGGACCTCTGCCCCTCTGCAAACCTCTTAAGAGTAAGAAGTCGAAGCCGGGCGCGGTGGCTCAAGCCTGTAATCCCAGCACTTTGGGAGGCCGAGGCGGGTGGATCACGAGGTCGAGAGATTCAGACCATCCTGGTCAACATGGTGAAACCCCGTCTCTACTAAAAATACAGAAAACTAGCTGGGCGTGGTGGCGCGTGCCTGTAATCCCAGCCACTCAGGAGGCTGAGGCAGGAGAATTGCCTGAGCCCAGGAGGTGGAGGTTGCGGTGAGCCGAGATCGTGCCATTGCACTCCAGCCTGGGTAACAAGAGCGAAACTCCGTCTCAAAAAAAAAAAAAAAAAAAAAAGAATAAGAAGTCAAGAGTCTCTGCCGGGGGAAGAAGGTAGGAGATCAGCAGGACTTGAGCACCAGTCTCAAGAGACCACTGAACCAAACAGGATCTGATCAAAAGAGGTTGCAGCAGAGACATTGGCGGAAGCCGGCTGAAACCAAGATGGGTACCAGAGCAACCCGGCGTTGCCCTCTGTGTTGGTTGTGCACTAAGTGTAATGCATTCACATGCTAAAGACACTCCCAACGGCACCGTGACCGTTTACAAATGCTATGGCCACTCCCAGAAGCCGCCTTATTTTAAAAAGGGTGGAGCCCGGGCGCAGTAGCTCACGCCTGTAATCCCAGCACTTTGGGAGGCCGAGGCAGGCAGATCACAAGATCTTCAGGAAGTCGAGACGAGCCTGGCCAACATGATGAAACCCCGTCTCTACTAAAAATACAAAAATCAGCCAGGCGTGGTGGTGCACACCTGTAGTTCCAGCTACTCAGGAGGCTGAGGCAGGAGAATTGCTTCAACCTGGGAGGCGGAGGCTGCAGTGAGCTGAGATTGCGCCACTGCACTCCAGCCTGGGAGACGGATCGAGACTCTGTCTCAAAAGAAAAAAAAAGTAGAAACCCTTGGTTCTGAGAACTCCGCACTCCTTTCGCAGAAAACCTGTGAATAGCCTGCCCCTTATTTAGCATATAATGAAGGAATAACCATAAATAAGCATAGCTGGCCAGCAGGGCCGGGCTCCGTGGCTCAAG